CGTGGCCAAGAGTAAGTGATATATCGTTTTTGTGATACATTATTTATTTAAATTCTTAGGTTATACAAGAAATTAAAGAAAGTAGGGTGACTAAGCAACGAAAAACAATTACTTGATTAAGTTCAGTGAGATAAATGTAGGAGTGCAGTGCGACGCGACGGTGCAGCAGCAAAAGCTATTTCTAAAGTTTTATGGACATGTCGCAGGTTATGAAAAAGATAGGATTGTGACCTAGCTCCAGAGTTTGATAAAATATATTGGAGAATATAAAAGTTTTTGAGATATGAACTGAACTTAAGTTCCTATGTGATTCACTACTTTAGATTACGTGATAGGTTAGAAATTTAAGACAATCACGAAGCGTCGCGTAGCGATTGATTAAATTATGAGGTGATTTTTTTAGACCATAAAATCGTAACTCTAACGAATAAACAAGGTATTTCAGCAAATAATTAGATTTCTCTTTTGGACACGCTACATTGATGATATGACCAAACGTGGATCGACATGATTTAATGTTGACCCTTAAATGATATAATCAAATGGCCTACCGGATAATAAAATCATCAATTCTACGATATGACCACGACATATATATGCAATGTAATAAGTCGTTTATTGAAAAAAATATATATGTTACACTTACACTAGATGGTGGTAAGGAGGATAGGCCATGACCTTTTACGCTGGCCCAATGCTGTTTGGAGGGTATTAACGACTACAAATGTTTCCGGGCTTTATATACCTTCAGAAGCTCGGAATAGCTTGCGATTCTAATTTTGGTCACCTATCCCATAACTGACCTTTGCGAAAGTTGCTTAACTGCAACGACCGCTGGCCGCGGCGCTTATCCACTGCGCGACTAAGTTACTCGGAAAATGAAATATTTTTAATTGGAATCTAAATGTGGATTTATTTATTTTAAAAATCACGTTAACGTTTTATAATATAACTCCAGAGCCAATTTATCATTTATCAAGAACATAGTGTAAAGTGCTGCCGACATAGATAATATTTTGCCGTTAACAGTACATCAGGCTATAAAAAACTGTCAAATTTCTCCATTTCATTTTGATTCTTACAGTATGATAGTGGAGTAGTGAGTTTTCATATAAAATTTAGTAAGAAATTTAAGCTTTGCTATATTAGATGGCGTTCATGCTAAAGTAATCTGCGCTATCGTTTCTATCAAAGAATTTTGCGTAGACTACGTTTTCGATTAAGTTTTGTGTAAACTTCAGAACCGTTTTTTCATCTGTATTCCAAATTGGATTGGATTGGATTAATATCTCTAAAGTTTTCAAAGATAAAGTGCTAAATCAATTTGGATATTTGTTTTTTTTTTTTTGTTGTAGTATCTTCGAACTTAAACATCAAGGTAATTTCGTCATCAGATCGAGAAACAACAGTGTTTTTGGAAAATATATGCTGCCCAAAGTAACTTTACCACGCGGACGAAGTCGTGGACAAAAACTAGTCTTTAATGTTATAAAACTGAAGAGGTTGTTTGTTTATTTTTTGGTTGGTGAAACACGATAGTCTTATGAATTGAAAAATTATGCTTGTGTTAAATTGTCCATTCATTGAGGAAAGATATCAACATCACGCTACTAATAGGAGTGGATGAAAATATACCAAACAATGAATGCCTGACATCGAAACATTAAACCGAATACTAGACAACCTATCTCCTAACTTCGCTACAGTCCAGATCTATACAAATCATAGCTACCAATATATTTACAGATTCAAAATCAAAAGTAGGTACCCCTAGTTCCGTTAGATGACTAGGGGTAGATGAATACCCCTAGTTATCTAACGGAACAATGCCCTAGATTCGACAGTAGCCGCTATAAATATTTACTAAACTTCAAATTTAACAACAACAACCCCAAGCTTTATCCAAATGACTTGGAAACTATAATAAATAAAGAAATAATAATTATTATACTCTGAATTGGTCAATTATATAATTAATAACCTAAAAAAATGTAAAAAAAAATTAAACAATATAAAAAACACTAGTGTTACCTGCTTGTATCCGATAGTAAATTAAAATAGCAATGGAGCAGCAATGAATATTGTTGCAGGAACGGGAAAACCATGCGGGCGAAGCCGCTGACGTAAAGTAAAAAAACATTATAAAAAAAAGCTGCTGTTTTTTTATAATGTCTGTTGTTTTTTTTTTATTAAATCGTTTGAATATTTTTATTACATAGTTATAATATAATATGACCGAATCAGTTATAATATACTACCCTCCAATCCGCATTCATGGTGGGTCATGGGCCATCCTCCTTAGCCATCCATAAGGAAGGTCTGACGCTGGCAGTGGAAACTTAAATGGGCTGATGATGATAACCAAATCAATTAAAAAAATGACTTTTTAGTTTTGGAAAAACCAATGTCTAAAGTAATGGCCGGTTATATGTTTTCGATAAATATAGTAAAAGATATTTTTTGTTTATTCAATTTCAAAATAAGTAACAATGAAATAATATTAGAAATTGGAAAAGTAGAATTCCAAATTATTAATACTTAAAATTAGAGTGGAAAATTGGTCCACTCTAATTTTGAGTATTAATACTAGTAAAATATAGTGTACGTAGATGTAATAAGTGCAAAGTATTGTATTGCACATAATGGTCATCGAAGTATAATTCTCATTACACCACACTGGAAACACTTAATGATAAAAATGAAAGATACTTGATGAAGGGGTCTGGTTTTATTAGGTGCCAATAAAATTCTCGCTTTTTTGAAAAATAAAAAATAAAGCGTTTACTCGCTTGAACCAAAAGAAAAGAAGATCAGAAAAAACCATTACAGAAACTTGAAACTAGTGATGTGAGATGATTAGATTGTTCGTTTCGAATATGCCTCTGCGCGTTGAAGACTTGTCCTTCAACCAATCTTCATCAGTCATCATCAGTGGTACTATCCTGCTGTGTCTTCTTCTGACAACACCACTCGCCGTTCTTATGACCGCAACACGACATAGATTGTCGCTGATACCGGGATGAACAGCCACAATACCACATGTTTCCACTTTAATAATGGAAAACCATCTTCCTTCAATAGACCAAGAGTATCGATCCTTAAAGAGTACCTGTCAGATTGCCATTTGACTCGTTAATGAAGTTCACTAACGTTTTTCTTGCTCCATCTTGCCCAAAAATGTTGACCTAACTGTTCAATGCGCTGATAATGTGTCAATCTTCTGGAAGGATAGCTACTGTAGCTCTGGTCTGGCAAGGCAATTAGTGGACGGCCGATGAGAAAATGGCCGGGCGTGAGTGATGTCAAGTCTGCGGGGTCCGACGACAACGGAGAGAGTGGCCGAGATTTAAGTATCGCCTCGATTTGTACTAAACGTGGTAGTGAGCTTCTCCCTCAGCCTCCCAGAGGCCGCCGAAATTAGGACTATAAGCAGATATGAACTGAAAACGAATACCTTCCTGTACCATATCCGAAGTCAGTGATTGAGTCTCTATTACTATTTAAAAAAATTAAAATATCGTTATAAGCGCTTACAAAATATATGAGCGGGCTTTCCTTTGCATGATATAAATCTACGCAACGCAAATAGATAGTTATTGCTCGTTAAATCACCCACCAACTCCATATGTACCGCCTTAGTCATCAAACATACAAAAATAACTCCTCGAATGTTAAATTAAATTTACAGGACTTGATACCAGTTTCCCAGAGGCCACCGAAATTACGACTCGCGACAGCCACTGGGCCGGCGTAATCTACTCCTACTCTATCAAACGGATAGCCACCAGGTTGAAGACGCTACTTAGGTAAATTACCCATTAACGGATTAAATTGTTTTCCATTCATACGTTGACAGCGCATTCACTGTCGAAAACAACTTTTCGTGAGATTTTAACCTCCTATCGGTCAATAAGTAGCATGGCTATGGCATGCATCAATTATTATATACGGCATGCATAATGGGATGTTTCTTTTCAGATGAAAAATTTAAATTTTCTAAACCTCTAAGGCGAATTAAATCATTGTTATCCAAATAAAGATTAAATTTTATAAGTGGACTTTTCTTCGGCAAGTCCTTGTCGGTAATTAACAAATTATATTCCGAAAATGACTGAATTTGTGTCTGAAGTAAAATGAAAATCATTTCTTTTTCAAGTTCGTCGAATTTCAAAAAAAATATTAGTTTACGTATCGTTTCCATTTTAAATTATATACAAATCTTAAAATATATGCTACAGCGCGTGGGAGCTTAGGCAATTTTGCCACCACAAAGAGCACGACTGAAGTGAACAAATATTAACGACACGTGATATTAAAATGGCGGAGTTTTCTTCAGTTGGAACTTGAAAATTATAGCTTCGCAATTACGAACAAACAAACGGCTGTAATTTAGACGGTAACATTTTAAGCTAACTCACGACTATCATGGAGTCAGTCCAAATGACAACCTGATCCACGTGTACTCATAGTGCAGTGTAGCTCGCTCATACAGATGAGCACCGATTATGGCTCTACACAACTCCAGTCGCGGTATTTTCTTTAACCTTTATTAGAGCCATTCGACTTTTGAAAAGTAATAAATTGATTGAAACTTCACCTAAACTGTTTAAGCTACGAACTAAAACACAAGAACCATACGCAAGCCGTGAAGCTGCATCACAGACAACACGTCTCGGTACATTTAGGCAGTTCAAACTTGGTAGATTTTCAACCAGCTGGACCCAGGTCTTTTTTATTTCCAGCGGCAATTCATCCTCCCAAGACAGTTTCTCTAGCCACAGTCTCTATTATAGAATTTTCATGCGAATAACATAAGGTGATAACAAACCTAACGGATCAAATATGTGAACCCCTTATGTACCCCTTAACTATGGTAGAACTGATCAGGGTTTCTAACACTTATTATACAAAAGTACAAATTCTATATTCCTACTCGTACTTTTACTTGTGTATAATGTAAAGAAAGCATAAAAATATATTTTGTGTTCACTTGTAAACCCATGTTTACTAGAACCGTTTTACAGTTTCTGATTTTATTAATTCCAGCCGCACCAAAGACTCCCCAGAGGATTGTTGGTGGTTCTCTAACGACCATCAATCAACATCCTGATATAGTCTCTTTATTGTGGTCTTGGAATGAAGCCAACAATCACTTTCAAGTCTGTGGTGGTAGTATCATAAACAGCAGATCCGTTCTCACTGCTGCTCACTGCACCGTGTATGTTTAACACAATTGAATTATCTAATTTTAAGGCAATGTTAGTCATTTTTCAAAAGATCAGGAGATATTTATTTAGATTTCAGTTCAGTTAACAGACACCAAAAATCGTCATGCAGATTTCATGCAGAAATCTGGGGCTGTATTCTTAAAACTAATTTTTAATATATCGCAAACTTCATGATGCTTTGTCCTACTCTACTGCATTAAAACTTACTTAAATAAAACTAGGACAGACGACAATGTAGTCCATGAAATAACAGTAGTCGGTTTAAGAGGCAAGTCCTTCATGACGATATTTCTCTCTAGCAGAAGAGTTACTGTATCTATACTTTTTTGATAGTTATTCTAATTACATATATCTGTTATTTTAATATTGGTTTTTAGTTTTGTGTCAAAACACTAATAGTGAATAATAATGTAATGTAAATAATACATAGGTATTGTCAATGGTCAAGATGAAGTTAACAACATTTTTTTCAACAGTGGTGCCCAATCATTCATATGGCGGTTTCGTTTAGGATCCACCTTCGCTAACAGTGGTGGTGTGGTACATCTTACGTCGCAAATCATCAATCACCCACAATATAACCGTGTCAACTACGATAATGATATTGCGATCATCCGTACCTCTTCCAACATTGTTTTTTCCAACGTAGTCCGACAAGCAAGCATTGCCGGTGCCAATTATAACCTTGCGGACAACCAAGTAGTTTGGGCTGCTGGATGGGGGGCCACTTCCGTAAGTTTATATGAGTATAGATTTTTTTAAAGTTAATAAATTTAGACAGAGGCAGAACTTTACTTGAAAATAAGATACATATTTGTGTTAATTAATCATATTAGTAACATTACAGAAGTATTTGCTTTATATTATATTTATACCCACTTGTATTACCATGGTACTTAATAAAAAGCATATAATAAGATTGATATAAGAGAATACTAACAGTCAAAATATATTTTCATACATTTTTCCAATGTAAACTTGTATTTACTTTGAAAACAATAAAAGCTAGTATGCTAAGCGTGTATTGTACGAGTACATTCCAATGAAATGAATTGAAATGAATTGCGAACTGACAGCGATTGAATTAAAAAGTCCTAATATTGTTATTGTTTCTCTATACAGACCAGATAAGGATATCTCTCTTTTCTTTGATATTATTGCTAAGCTGTTACATATAATCTGTAGAGAACGAAAACAAATAGTCGTAGCTGGAGATATCAATATAAACGTATTAAAGAAAAACAAAAAAATACTTAAGCTCACTGATATACTTGGGAACTATAATTGTTATTAGTTAATAAATTCATCAACACGAACTCAAGGTAAAAGCTCGTCATGCATTGACAACTTTATTACAAATAATGATCTCTGTAAAGGATATGTATTAAATTGTAAGCTATCGGACCATAATGTTATAAAACTTAGAATATAGAATATATGGATGACCCATTAATTAAACCAGTAACTTACGCTAGAAAAATAACTAAAAGTAATATAGATTATTTCCATTATTTATTTTATAGGGACTTCCTCATTTTAAGATCACAAATTCTTAACTGTGTAGACCCAAATCTAGGGATGGAAATTCTATTTGACGCAATAAGACATTATTATAATATGGCTTTTCCTAAAGTTAGAAGATTTTCAAAGAATACATTGAAGAAATGGACAACGAAAGGCATACAAATTTCAAAAAATAATTTGGAAAAGCTACAAATATTACAAGACCATGACCCAAATGTTGAAACATAAATAAAAATAAAAAAATATAAAAAGATATTAAAAAAGGTTATGATTGGGGCTAAAAAAATACAATATTCTTATAGAATTCAAACTTCCAAGAACAAAATTAAAGAAACCTGGAACATAGTAAGTGAACAAACACGAAGAAAAACCAGGTGTAGATCCACCGCGGCTCTTCTATATGTTGAGGACTGTCAGGGAAATAAAATTGAAGATTCCAAGGCTATTGCTAATTTATTTAATGATTTTTTTTCTGAAATTGCACATATTTTGACTAACCACCTAGATACCGACGTTCAAAAATGTTTACAATATTTTGAAAATTGTACTAAACCATCCACTTTTCCTCATCCACACAATTAAATTTGACCTTATTGATTATAAGGAACTATGGACTATCGTTAAAAAGATTAAACCTAAATTAACAATGGATATTTATGACATGAATACAAAAACTATAAAAAAACTAATACTTAAAAATCCTAAATTATGCATTTGCTGCTTATAGTGTTTAATAGATGCCTAAAAAGCGGTGTATTTCCGGACTGTTTTAAAATTGGCAAAGTTATCCCGTTACACAAAAAAGGAGAATATTGTGCATTAAGTAATTACCGACCGATTTGCATTCTGCCAACATAATCAAAAATATTAGAGAATTGTCAAGTATTTCGAGGAAAATCAACTTTTTGTTCCAACGCAATTTGGTTTCCGAAAAAATAGGTCTACTGAGATGGCAATTAGAAAGGTCATTTATTTTGTTCTGGACTCTTTGGACGAGTCACAGAAATGCGCGAGTATTTTTTGTGACTTATCCAAAGCGTTTGATTGTCTTCGCCATAATAACCTTATTTGTAAACTTACATATTATGGTTTCGAGGATGTAGAATTAAATATGATGAAATCTTATTTATCAAAAAGAAAGCAAGTTGTTGTAGTAAATAGTGTATCTTCAGATTTAAAAGACATTGATATAGGGGTGCTACAAGGCTCGATTTTAGGGCCAGTGCTATTTTTAATATATATAAATGACTTAGTAAACTCGGTCCCTGAGTGGGCATCCGCCAGCTTATTTGCTGATGATACTCATCTCAGAATAAAGGACAAGTCGCAAAATAAACTCGATCAAAAAAATGAGATAGCTGTGGATATTTTGAAGAAATGGTTTCAGGCTAATGGCATATTACTGAATGCTAATAAAAGTACAATAATGCATTATCAGGTTAGAAAACGGCTATCTGAGAACGTACTTGTTACAAATAATACTTTTCTAGGTTATACCTTAGACCATACTATGAGCCACTCTTATCATATAAACAAGCTATGCAAAAAACTAGCCAGTGAAAACTACGCACTACAAAAACTGAAGCCCGTAACCAATAAAAAAACATTAATGACAGTGTATTATGCTTATGTGCACTCCCTATTAAGTTATGCGGTGACAGTCTGGGGAAATGCTTCTGATATAAATCGTGTACTAAAATGCCAAAAAAGGTCATTACGAATTATAAATGGTTTGCGCAAGCGTACGTCCGCCAAACCTTATTTTAAACAAAACAAAATAATGACAATTATTTCTTTATACATTTATAAATGTTTAATAGAAATACACCATGATCGGGATTCACATTTGAGAAAGATGGACATCCATAGCTATAATTTACGTAATAAGGAACGATTGTGTTTGCCTAAAACAAGATTGGCAAAGGTACAAAAACAAGGCATGTATAATAAAATTATAATGTATAATAAACTTCCCCTCAGTATCAAAAACATGAATGATGACGAATTCGAAAGAACAATTAATTTTTTTTTATTCAGCATCCCTTATACTCTTTAAATGAATTTATGTCTATGCGTTTGGATGAATATTCATTCCTACATAAAGATGAGTGAGATACGAAATCGACTAGATCCCTGTGGTAGATGACAAGATATAATAATCATCAATATTTTATGACATAAAATTATATATAAGCTATGTTTGTATAATCTAATTTGTGATGTTGTAATTTAATTGCAATTTAATTGACTGTGATATAATTGATTATTAAGGATCGGAAAAATAACCATTTTGACATTGTTAAGATACTTAATTTATTTGACATTCCTACTTACAATGATTTGACCTGCATGATTTAAACCTTTATTTTTAATTTAATATGCTTATTGTAAAAGACTTGCCGAGTGTAACCTTCTGAGTTATATGGCCAATAAATTATTTGATTTGATTTGAATGTAGTATTATAAAATATTGTTATAAATTGCTTAGTTTCGTATCGTATATTCAATATTGAAATGATAAGCTTGTTTTATACATTCTAATGAAGTATTACAAAATATTGCTATTAATTAAATAGTAGCGTATATTAGATATTTTTCGTTTTAGTCTGGGGGTCCATCATCAGAGCAACTGAGACACGTTCAAATATGGACCATAAATCAGGCAGTTTGCAGAAATCGTTATGCAGAGATAGGCCTCACAGTCACCGACAACATGTTGTGCTCCGGCTGGCTCGATGTCGGTGGTCGTGACCAGTGCCAGGGTGACTCTGGTGGTCCACTTTACCACAATGGAGTCGTCGTCGGCGTCTGCTCGTGGGGTCGCGGATGTGCTCAAGCTCGCTTCCCTGGTGTTAATGCTCGTGTTTCACGCTACACTCAATGGATACAGAATAATGCTTAATGAGCATTTACTACGTACACTTCTATGAGTGCTTCTGAAAATAATAAATAATGTTTTAATTTGTCAAGACTTTTTTTCATTCAGAAACTTTATTATTGTAAAGATAAAAGACAGTGGTTATAGTAAAGGCATTTGGTAATAGTAATAGCAAGTTAAGCAAATTTCGAATGGGCCGTGGGTCATGGGATGGATTATCACATTTTGATATCTCGAGCTCGAGCATTTCTCAAAATACGTTAGGCTGCCTTCACCAGGTGTTCCAGCAACTAATCTCCGCAATGGGTACTGTGTAATATACCTTTAATACTTCCACATACTAAACTATTGCCCGAATAAAACAATAACCTATTTTTATCATCATGTCTTTATATAATACTAATGCTGAGGCTCATGATGAATTATGTAATAAAAAATATTAAAAGCTAGTATTGATAAATTCATTAGTGTTCTTACTCTCTTGATTAATTTTTTTTGAGCGATACATTCAGATATTAAAATTATCTATTGTAAGGGCACTGGATATGTAAAAAACAGAAAAGTCTAACATTAGGAACTATCATCCTATTACACTAGTCTCAAAATCTCCAGTATTAACATATTTAAAAGTATAAACGAACTCGTAGAAATGTTAATAGATTTGTCTGGGATGAAATTCCGAAGTCCGAAAAAATACAAATAGAGTTCTCTATGTATGTGTGTACGGCTGTATAATTAACTGCCGATTAATATTAACTCTTCATCTAACTTATTCATAAATGGGTTCCCCATAATACATACTGTCAGCGGTAACCTGACACCGCTGCTTTTGACACTTAACGTCATTCTTTTGTTAGTGCGACCGTTAATGTAAACAACTTAAAGTTATTTGACACTTTTACGAGGTGCCAAAAATTTCTTATCGTCGTGTATCACACAATACGTGCATTGTTCGTACAAAATATAAACATCGTGCGGCGCGACTTCAAATGAATGGTTTGTGGTGTATAATTAGAGCAACTAAAGTTATAAATCATTTATATTCGTAATATTCAATATATTTCCTTTATAATAGATGTAAAAAATATATATGTGTCCATTATAAAAAATAAATAATTACTCGAGTGAAAAGTAGCACCTTTTTTCCCGCCATTTTATTTTCTTTCTCTTTGATGATTAAAAGCTCGCAGTACTCTATTAAAATTTCTAATAGATGCAGATTTTTTAACATTATTGTTGTATAAGATCGAAGAGATATCGTATAATGATGGAATAAAAAACGTCACCAATTCTACTTAGCATTTTGCGGCTGCCTTTATAAGTGTAGTTTGTCGTTTAGCCGCATTAACAGCAAGAACATATGTTAAACAAGATAAGATTGTATCAAACTCTTTATTTTATGCATCGATTATATCGATTAACTTGTCGACTTTATTCGAAACCATAATAGTAGTTTAACAAAGAAGTCATGAGTAATCGTATTAAATGTAGGTATTGGGAAAATCAGTGAGGACCAGGTATTATTCTTTCATTCTGGATTCCTATGTGGATATTGCCAGTCCTTTTGTGGACTTTGTTGCAGCATTCATGTCAAAAAATGTTAGATTAGAACAGCAAAATATAGATATAAATAAACACCGCACAACACAACTGCCTAAAATACCCATTCAGAATGGAAAAAACAAAAACATAACGCAAAAAATAAGTACTAAAAAGAAAAATACAAGCAATAATACTGATTGAAGTTGGTTGATGAAAGAGGATCATTTTCTTTTTATTATAATTGTTGCATTTTAAATTATTTTCATTTTGATTAAATAGGCATTAAGTTTGACAGCACGTTATAAAAAAAAATTACATGTAATTAATATAAATAAATAAATACACAATGTCTACTTGAGAAGAATAAACATGAAAATTCATTAATTCTTCACTAGTAGTGAAGTACCAATATGTGCCAAAACCAGTAACAAGTGTATAAGACATTTATTAGTTTCGCTAGGTTTTGGGTAGCTCAATTGGTTAGCAGTCGCCCGGATTGGAAAAGAATATATGTATATTCAAATCCCATGTCGGATATCTGTGGGTAGCGTTCCTACTATTGCGCCGAGAGTCTTGGGTTCGATCCCCACCCAGGACAAACATTTTTGTGATTAACAATTTATGTCTGTTCTGTATCTGGGTGTTTTCTATTTATGTTATGTATATATTTGTATTCCCCCCGTTGTTTCTGATATCCGTAACAAAAGTGCCTAACCAGTTACCTCGGAATCAGGTCAATGTGTGTGATGTTGTTCGATATTTATTAATTGGATTGTCTAATAATGCACTTTAAGTTCAGGTCATTTGATTTAATCTGATGCACTGATCGTATGCACTATACAAGCAATAACGATATTATATAGTATAAGGCGATAACAAAACATGGAAAGCGACAGGCGAATTTTTCAAGAATATTTCTATCAGTTAAACTTGAATATTATTCATTCAAAATTGATTACATATAATATATGTATGGATACATCGCTCACTGAATAGTACAGTGGCACAACTCAAAAACCATAATTTCGAGAAACGCTCTCCGAAGTTATGAAAATTTAATATATTTATAATTATGAAAATCATTTTTTTTTAGCATAACAGTCAAATCGTTTGTATTATATTATTACTGTTAAGTTTTTTATTTTTTCTTTAAATTATCTATGGGTTGCCACCACAATGTTGTGGTGTTTTCTCCAAATTATGGTTTTTGAGTTGTGCCACTGTACTATTCAGTGAGCGACATTTTCATCTATTATCAAAATATAAGTCTTTAGTGGCTTAATTAGATTAACGTTTACTTAATCAAATTTTTTGATAAGATTACCTATTTCATATAAAAATAACACTAGGCGATGACCACAGACTAATGTTAGGTGAAGTTTAAACAGAATCAATGATGAGTGTATTAGTTGCTCTGTTAGTGGTACTGGCTCTTGTAGCAGGTAAGATTTAAAATGAACATTTTGGGGATCTTCCACATTATCGGATCTGCTCAGTGGTTACGTGCAGGCAGGTTAAAGGGCGTGTGTCTACCCACTGTAAATCTGGGGCACACCTTCAGTTGGGATTGGCCCTGGGGATCCAGGCGAAGCTGGGTCAGCCACTCCCGTTCCTTTTTTATTTTTAATACCTAATGACTATTTTTTTGAATAATGCCTTCAAGCAGAGACTACATAATTTTGTAGTATTTCTCCTTTTGGTTGATATCATTATTACTCTGTAATAGATTGATAAATTAAATTTTAATTATATAAATGATATTAATGTTTAAATATTAAAGGTACAGAAAATAATTATGAAAAAATATTGAAATATAAAGTAAAGGGTAAGGGGTGTTATCCAAGGATCAAATTTAGGTCTTATTTTATTTATTATCAACAACATTTACATCGATCATTACAGCTTATATCCAATGCGATCTAGTAAACCTTAACAATTTTTCTTATCTTAACTGAAGACCTTACTTTTTATATATAAAATAAGCTTTACATAATATATATTGTTCTTAATTAATTTTATATGTACAAAAAATATTGCAGTTTTTGTAAACACACTCAGAGTACAATCAAATATGTCAGTTTCATTAGCTATCATATTAATGATAGATATTTAATTTATAGTGTTATTCCATTCATGTATTCCATCTGGATAAAACCACTGGATCGAGTTACATACACCTCATGTCCTTTCCACTGAACGACATTACTATCCAAGGATCGTTCGTGAAGCGGTTGAAATAAAAAAATACAACAATTTCAACCGGGAAAGTGGATATAAACTCTCACCAACGTGAAATCCGGTTATAAAAAGTGTCGCGATCGCAAACAACTATGAACAATATTCTCGGATAAGTGCAGCGTGTCGCCACCTTTACGTACAATAAAATCAAGTGGAGGGTACATCTGAAAATCTGTTAAAAACATTATTACCGGATTACCCTCACGCCTCAACTATAATCAGAAGGCGATACCCGCCAGTTCTCCAGTCTCCTCGTGACCACGGCTGCTGCAACGTAGCCGAAACGTCGAGGTAAACAAATAGTTTTAAAATAATGCACGAACAAGACCCGGTTACATATAATTATAATGTATACAAATCGTGTGAGTTTAAAAACATTATATCTAAATACAATGATAGATATCCCAATAAATAATGATGAACGAAAGACTTGAAATGCTTTAGAGGCTATTTCTTAGTTTTTCAAAGCAAATAAATTAAAACTTAAGTTTAAATAACGTATAACAAAAAAGACCATATCTTATAAAGTTTCAAAGAATCATCTTTGAAAATTAACTAAAAATAATAAGCTCCGCTTTACTTGAGTTTTATTTAAGATAAAATTAAAAGACAAATGTCAAGGACATTCATGCAAAGAACACTTTCAAAATCTAACATTTCTAACAGTACCATTTTATTTTCAACAGTACCAATATGTACATTCTAGTTTTTTTTATTAATTTTGCTTAGAACGTAATTAAAAATGAAAACCCCCATTGGGGGATAATCGGAGATCTTGCAAAGAGAGTTCCGGAGTCAACCCTAGTTCGGGACCCTATTAAGGTCCTTCCTCTGAGTGCGTCACCGACTGCCCCAAAGCCTACGCGTCCTACAGATTCCTCTAATGGGAGGAACAGTGAGAGCGAGAACGTGGCTTGGCGTAAAGTATCGTAGTCGGTGGACACCAGCGGAGGGCGACCACACAATGCTAGGCAGCGGCCGTGATTGTTCTCCGCCCTGTCCGTTTGTCGTCCATCAAGACGAAGATGTAGATTGTCAAATAGAGCGGAATATTTTTTATTAAATTCCTCAATGATTGAGTAATAATTATATATGTACATTTATATTAAAATAGCTTGAAGCCATGAAATAAAAACAAAATAATATATGGGAAAAGATGAATGGAAAAAAGGTGTAAATAAATTATTTGAATGTACATATTAAAAAATAATAAAAGAGATAAATTATATATTGTGATTGTAACAAACACTTCGATGGAACTAAAACTTTTGTATAATGTGAAAAGGTATAATAATTGACTCGATATTCTTTTTTTAAAACTATGTGTGGAATAACGTTTTTGTTCCTTTATTCCAGCCGCACCAAAGAATCCCCAGAGGATTGTTGGTGGTTCTCTAACGACTATCGATCAACATCCGGATATGGTCTCTCTATTGTGGTCTCCATTCGGATTCAGGCACAGTCAGAACTGTGGTGGCAGCATCCTTACCAACAGAGCCGTACTCACTGCTGCTCACTGCACATTGTATGTTTAACACATCTTAAAATTATAATTATTTGATCAATTTTGCATTGACGGTGCTATACTGAAAATGCTCAAAAATTTTACATCTCAATAATCTAAATTTAATGTTAATCAATTTTCAAGGAGTCCGGAGATTTTAGTCTGCTTAACAGAATTAAATAATAATCGTTTTGCAAAGAATCATGTCCATTTTCCATACATTAATTGACCTGCATATGTTTTTAAACCCATCTTTAGTGATAATTTAAATTAGTTTTTGCTTAAAGTAGAATAATATCTTAGCATCTTTTCATCTGGAGCCAGTGAGATTCGTAATTTGTAAATAATGTTTTGAGGTTATAATAGCTGTCAAAACTCGAGATAATTGTGAAGCTACTTGAAAAATTAATACATTGAAATCAAAGCTTTTTACAGTTTGACTCGTAAACATGGAAATAAATCAAAATATAAATTCTTAATGTGCACCTTTTTACCATATGCTGAAAGATTTTTTTTTGAAAGAAAGAGAACGAAACGTAACCGTCATTGGGTCCGAATCGCATTCGAGCAGTTAACATAGTACTATTTAAAAATAATTATAATCCTCATAATTTTTATCCTAACTTTATTTTAAGATTTGATTTTTTCTGATATGAAACAAGGTACAATTTCAGATTTATCACATCACTAAACGCGTTAGTAAATTTTTAGCTCAAATTGTATATGATTCTTTGTAGCATAACTCTGGGGCCGTAGGCTTATAACCAAATCTCAATATGTCGCGAACTTCATGATTCTTTCTTTGTCTTACTGTACTGACGTGATTAATCCAGCACGTGTAGCGAGACAACTGCAGAAACGTTTTGTCTATACCAAATGTCACTTTTCTATGATCGACAGTGAGATATCGCATGGGCGCATCCAAGAAAAGTGACATTTGGGTGAAGACAAAATGTTCTCGAGAGTCCATAACATAACTAATTGCGATTTTAAGAGTGCAATCCAAAATGACGATATTTTCGTCCCGCGGAAGGGTAAACTGTATATCTGTATTTTATTATGGTTAATATAATTATTTCATTTTTGGAAAATTATTGACAGTAATAATAGTAAAAACAACTTTCGATACTTTGCGGCTTAGAGGCCGTAACCACCATTTTCTACTAAATGAGTCTTAAATACAATCTTATTCAGATTTGTCTACGCCATTGGTGTTATTAAAATTCTCATATTCTGAAAATAATGTGAATACGACATTAAATTTAAATGTTGCTAATGCAGATTTATTGTTATTTTGGACGTAAAAGTAATTATTATTAGATATCAATGATTTTCAAATAAAATTGATATTAACTCATATTTACTGAGTCTCCAGAACTACACTGGACCGCAAAGAAAACGGGTCGGTTAGAAAATCGTCAATATCTTGAAAACTACTTAACTTATTTTTATGAAATAAAAACTAAATTAAAGATTATTTAATTGTAATTTATTGAATATAAAAAAATACAAATTAAAAGTTGTCTATTTTCAATAAATGTCAAACGAATGAAAAAGGTAGTTTTTCTGACATTTTCGTAAATATGAATTGTATAAAGATGTGACGTTTTTACGCATGTTAGTATTTCGTGTTGCCTCCACGAGCTTGCAAAACTGCGGCTATGCGATTCGGCATACTTTCCACAAGGTTTTTAAGGCGATGCTGCGGAACGTTCTGCCATTCCTCGATCAAAGCTCCTTTCAATTCACGCAGCGTGATTGGCGGCGGATTCCGTTGACGTACACGTCGTCCCAGTTCGTCCCATGCATGATGGGGTTTAAGTCGGGGCTTCGTGCTGGCCACTCCATGCATGTGATACCTACTTCGTGAAAATAGTCGAACACTATCTGAGCTGTATGCATAAATCTGTCTTGCATAAAATCAGCATTTTCGCCCATATCTACTAAAAATGGACCAACATAGTCATTAAGAATTTCATTCACATATCGTTCTGCTGTTAAACTGCCATTTTCTATCACTACTAGCTCAGTACGGCTTTCGGAAGAAATCCCAGCCCACACGTGTATAGAGCCACCGCCATATGGTACTTTTTCTTCTATACAAGTTTGGTTATAGCGCTCTCCCGGTCTTCGGTACACTCTTTTCCTCCCATCGTGCTTGTATAAACAGAATCTAGACTCGTCTGAAAACATAACTCTTGACCAGTCATCCAGAGTCCAAGTTTCGTGTTCTCTGCTATAACTCAGCCTTGAGTTTAAGTGGTGTCTTTCTAATTTTGGGCCATTTGCAGGTCTTAATGGTCTCAAATTTGCTTCAGCCAGATGTCGCCTTACTGTATCTGTACTCAGATAGTTTCCTCCAGCTCGTAAATGGTGATTTTTTACCTCAACGGCCGTAAGAAATCGATTTCTCAAAATTGTTGACACCATATAGCGATCCTCCCGCGCAGTCGTGCACCTCGTTCGGCCTGTTCCTGGTCTTCTTAGGTTGGATCCAGTTTCATGGAAACGCTGGAGTACCCGCTGAACTGTGGAAAGACTCACACCAACAGTTCTCGCTGTATTGCGCTGACTGCGCTCATCTTCAAGCATTGTCAGGATCCTGGTGCATTCTTCAGGGGTTAACGACATGATGACTTCAGAATACAATTTTTGTATGACAAACACACGATATTTATTGTAGTTTTTATGTCAAAACTAAAACAAATGTGAAACAAATGCTTTGATTTTTTTAGAACTAAATTGAAAAACAACCATTATCTTCATTGCCAGTTTTCTTACACAATTATCTAAAGTAAATAAAAATGTTTTATATGCTATGTTAAATAACATTAAATATTCTTTAATTGAGTTTTTATTTCATAAAGCTAGGTGAGGTAGTTTTCAAGTTATTGAAGATTTTCTAACCGACCCGTTTTCTTTGCGGTCCAGTGTAGTTGTCATGACGCAGTAGTCATTTTCTAGGGCGTAAAAAAAATACATGTTTCACTTTGTGAGGCGTATTTACCAGGAAACTTTAAAAATAAGAATATGACTTAAAATTTTGTTTTAATATTATGCACCATAAAAATTGAATTTGGTGTAAGATTCATATTTATAGAATCAATGACAATAAAGTTGTGATAATTATAAATTTTTTTTTTTTTTTTGGCCCGCCGTATCAGTCGTGTTTCAGTGCCGCAAAGTATGGATATAATGCCATAGGCACTATCAAGGTGAAGCTAACCATACTTCATTTCTACAGTGGTCACCATGCATTTATGTGGCAGTCTCGAGTAGGATCCACCTTCGCTAACAGTGGTGGTGCAGTACATACTACATCACGCATCATCAATCATCCACAATATATCTCTGCCACCTTAGATAATGACATCGCTATCATCCATACTACCACCGTGTTTGTTTCTTCTAATGTAGTCCAACAAGCAAGTATTGCCGGTAGCGGTTATAACCTTGGAGACAATCAAGAAGTTTGGGCTGCTGGTTGGGGACGTCTTTATGTGAGTTTATACACTATTTTTTTAAACTTTACTCAATAAAATTAATTTCCAGATAATTTATATAGGGGCAGACAGAATTTGACTTGAAAACAAGATTAGTGTAAATTCATTAGTGTAGTTTAAGTTATACTTTTTGTACCATCTTAAAACCATACAAATAAGAGTATAATCATAGGTAAAGTATGTATCATACAATAATGCTTTGGTTTTTTTTTCAAAATATAATATTATTTTTCTATCTTTCATTTCAGTATGCAGGTCCTTCATCGGAGCAACTGAGACATGTCCAAGTATGGACCATTAACCAGGCGGTTTGCAGAGCTCGTTATGCAGAGAGACAAATCACGATTACCGACAACATGTTGTGCTCCGGCTGGCTCGAAGTCGGTGGTCGCGACCAGTGCAATGGTGACTCTGGTGGTCCACTTTACCACAACAGGGTCGTTGTCGGCGTTAGCTCGTTTGGCTACGGATGTGCTCAGGCTCGCTGGCCTGGTGTCAATGCTCGTGTTTCACGCTACACTCAATGGATACTGGCTAATTCTCAGTGAGAGTACACACAAACATCGCCCATGTTTGCTACTGAAAACTAATAAACAATTTTGAAATTAATGAATAGTTTATTTATTATTGAAGAGTTAAGAAAAATGACTCACTGTCGCAACGGTTAGCACGTTAAGTCTGCGAGGTGGAAGTCAAATAAATTTCGCAAGGTCTGGCAATGGGATGGGTGAACAAAAATTTATTATCTGAGCTCCACCGTGCTTTGAGAAAGGCATGTTAAGCCACTGGTATCGATTGCATCTACAGTCCCTAACACATACCAGTATGTGGTTAGTCTAGGCCTTTTCTCCCTGACATAGCACGACATACTTTGTAAGAACGCAGTACGTGGGACGACCAAAGACGGTGATGTCGGTGATAGGACGGGATCTCTCCCTCTCATTAAATGTTTTAAAGACAAACAAAAAAATATTTAAAGTCACTGATATAGTTGGAGACTATAATTGTCATATGTCAATAAATTCACCAACATGTACTCAAGGTAAAAGCTTGTTATGTATTGACAACTTTATAACAAACACTGATCTCTGTAAAGGCGACTTGTTAGATTAGATTGTAAGCTATCGGAGCATAATGTTATAAAACTAGTCTTAGAATATAAGTATGACGTATTAAGTAAACCAGTAACCTACGCGAGAAAAATAATTAAAAGTAATATAGATTATTTCCATTATTTGTTTAATAAGGGTTTCTTCATTTTAAGATCACAAATTATTGACTGTGTAAACCCAAATCCAGAGATAGAAATTTTATTTGACGCAATAAGTCTGAATACGCTCGTACAAAAGTAATTTTAAGCTCAAGATAACGATAGCATATCCCTGGAAATCCTGCAACTATCTTTACCCCAGCCATTAAATGCCATCACTACTATAATCAACAAGTCGATAAAAGAATGCACATTTCCTGAAAGCTGGAAAATCGCTGTCGTGATGCCTATTCCAATAGTTAACCAGCCAGAATCAGTGCAGGATCTTCGGCCAATGAGTATGCTCATGTAAGTCTAAGGTTCTTGAAAGGATAGTCTGTGACCAGTTAACCAAGTATCTAGAAGATAACAACATACTTCCGCAGATGCAGTCTGGTTTCTGAAGAGGTCATGGCACTGCAACGGCCCTATCGGATGTTGTGGACAACTTGCTTTCTAGCCAGGACTTTGGAATGATCAATGCTATGCTGTTGCTGGACTTCTCGCGTGCATTCGATTCAATATATACAACACTTTTGCTGTCAAAGTTATCATATTAAGGGGTCCATGAAAAAGCAGTGAAATGGTTTCATAGTTACCTCTCGTATAGGTAGCAGTATGTCGAGTTAACAACTGCAGATGGAAAAATCCAATCAACTCCTCTAATGGTTTCTCGTGGGGTTACTCAGGGGTCTATCTTGGGCCCTATTCTCTATGTTTTGTATAGTGTGGACATCACAAAGACTATCACTCACTCTCAAAACCATCTTAACGCTGATGATCTGTAATTATATTTGCCATTCTCTCCTTCGGATCATATTGCCGCTATGTTAAAAATAAATGAGGATCTGGCTCATATAGCTGCCTGGTGCGAGTCACACTGCTTCACCTTAAACCCATAAAATCAAAACTAATTATATTTAGTACAAAGAAAAGTATAAAAAAGTTTAACAACAGCTGTGGTTCATTCGATATTAACTTAAGGGGAGAGAAGATAGAGAGAGTTAGAAATCTAGGTCTGACGCTAGACGGTTACCTTAATTTTGAAGCTCATATAACAGAATGTGCTAGAAGCTCCATAATTCAATTATTGTGACACATTAATTTATTTATCGTGGTGCAACTCTAGATTATCCCATAAGCAAATGTTTAACAGTAATATTGCCCTTGGTGACAACACATAGGTACATACAACAGCCATTTTCTTTTGGTAAATCATCACAAAATTCTACCAGATGCTTCTCAATGGGATTGGAAGGTACTACTAGGCGTGGTAGCGTTATTTTTGGTAAATCTGACAAATTTGCCGCGATAGAATGCCATTATTTGGGTCATAGATTTAGCTCATAGGTTTATTTATCATAGATTTAAAAGCCTATCGACGTAAAATAAAGATTATTTTAGTGATTTTAAATCAATATATTTATGTTAACGAGCTGGTACGTTTTTTACGCTTGCTGTACGTTTGTATTGGATTTAAACAGTGATTTTATTAACGACGGACAGGAATGTCATAAGAATTACTTATATTCGTTAAATTGGCAGCGAATGATTTTATCGATGAATTAGACAGTGTTACATTTTGCGAGGCGGTATTGTGTTAACCCGAAGTTTGTACCAAATACTTACCTGCATTTCAATCGTGTCTTTTTTACAGATTTTTATTTAATATTTTTGTGTTAGTTTGTGATGATGCAGCCTCTATAAATTGATCTTTAATTTGTGTCGATAAGAACTTTGGTCAGAGGTAATGTTCAGGATCTGATAATAGAATTAAAAGGTGGCGGTAGGAACTTAGTAATTAAATAACTCGTTTGGTTTAGCTATACGTCTCTGGCCCAAGATAATAACAAAAGCTTGTTTATAAATTTATTTTAAGTTTATTGTTCGAGGAGCTGGATGGCGTAGTAGCAGCGTATTCAGTATGCGATGTGAGAGTTAAGCAGTTTTTTCGCAACGATCGTTCATTGAATGGGTGACTAAAAATTTATGCTGGACCCACGTCGTCGGTGGCGGATTCTATTCTATACATAGGGAAGGACTGTGCTCTTACAGGGTAGAATATTAGTTGACCGATGATGATGATGAGTCATCATGATCAGCCCTTTTACGTCCTCACTGCAGGGGCTCAGGCCTTCCTTATGGATGGCTAAGGAGAATGGGCCATGACCATCCACGCAGGGCCAATGCGGATAGGAGGGTATTAACGACTGCAAATGCAGCCGGGACCAACGGCTTAACGTACCTTCCAAAGCATGGAGTAGCTCGAGATAATATATTTGTTTGGTCACCCATCCTGTGACAGACCATAGCGAAAGTTGCTTAACAACAACGATCGCAAGCCGTGGCGCTTATCCATTACGCCACCGAGCTACGCCTATAGATGATGAGTGACTTTTTTAATATACGAGTAATATAATCTTTCTATATATGACGAAACTTTTTATCCGTTTAATAGTATCTTTTTACAACTTTACATTTTAAGTTTTGTCAACCATGACCATTCAGTTGGACTAAGCTAGAGTAGTTGTACAATAAGCTAATAAATCACGACGATATAAATAATGACGAAATTTCCTCATACTAACTAAAGTAAATGTTATCGGTAAGTACCCACTCGAGATTACGTTGGGAATTAGTAGTTTCTATTGTTACTATAAATATTGGTGATTCTTTAGAGAAATCATTGGAATATGTTGAATTGAACATAATGTTCTTATTAGATATTATGTAAATCAGTTATGCCGGCGTATTCAGTAAGATTGAGCATATTATTTATAACATAATACTCGTACAATTATTGAATAAATGTATTTTACATATAAAATATGATAATATCTAATATGCTTCTTAAAATTAATTGATAACAACCATAGTTAGGTGATGTCTTACATTTTATGCAAGTATACACATTCTTTGTAATTTAACAGTATTCCTGAAAAACAAACAAAGATAGTAGGAGGGTCGGTTACTATTATCAGTCGATATCCCCAAGTAGCATCTTTACTCTATTCCTACATTGGTACGAATTACAGAGGATCTATTCTTAATAACATATCGGTTCTCACGGCCGCTCATTGTGTAAGGTAAAAATATATAGATTAAAATAATTTTAAATAATAGACCTATTAAAATTATTTGTGTATATTTATCTATGTAGCTTATCATAAGTATATGAGTGGTATTAAATCTTTATTTGTGCATTAAATCTTTATTAATTTTTTTTATTGAGGTTGAGTAGTTTGTAGGTTTTATTGATCGAGTTTATGTTCAGTTGGAATTTTCTCTTTGTTTCTGGTCAGATTCAGCTACTCTTATTTAGATTATTACACAATGTCACATAATTATAATAATTTCACATCAGGGTACAAACTTTGCTCAGAACCTAATTGGAACTAAGATGAACAGTAAGATAAAGAAAGTACACAAACACCTTAACCTAAGTCAATACTGAAGAGTTGATTTCCTAAATTGATCCGGCCATAAATCAAACTCTACAAATAAAAGTGATGACATCTTTGTATTTATGCTTGTGAGTCAATTTAACTTCAGATCTCAGTAATGTTTAAATACTTGAAATATATATTGACTGTTTCAGAGATATGCTAACAGTGGTGGAGTAGTTTATAACGTTGGGGATATTATAGTTAATGATTACTACAATACTAGTTCTATTGACAACAATGTGGCTATTGTACATTCTGCTGCGACGATCTCTTACAGTTCTTTGGTCCAGGCCCCTTAATGGGGGTTGGTCTGCAGGGGAGAGTCCCACATAACCCGTGGAGCTCGCGCAGGGTGAAGCGGGTATACGCAACGCATTTCTCAGCGTCAAAAAAAAGGCAAGTATACCTGGAACAATAAAAAATAATATTATAAGTTGCTTAAATTATCTTTAGTCCATATTTACTTTTATAAGTAAATTTTCCAAACAACCTTTGATCGATTGCTGGAAATAATATCCTGTTAGATTTAAGTAAGTTAATAAAAAATATCTTTATTGATTACGCAAAATGACTTTTTTAGTCGGGTGATCCAGCATCGGAAAATCTACTTCATAAATCTACGTCTGTGAACCAGAACGTTTGCAAGAGACGAGATTCAGAGATTCATCGCTCCATTATGTAATGGTCTGGCTGGCTTGACGTCGGCAGTCACGGTCAGTGCCAGGGTGATTCTGGCGGTCCCCTCTTACATAATGGCGATGTAGTGGGAATCTGTTCCTGGGGCCAAAGCTGTGCCCTTGCCAGATACCCCGGTGTGAATACTAGAGTTTCGCGATTCATCATTTGGATACAAAGCAATGC